TGAGCAAACTCAGGGAGGCAGCGAAGGACAGGAACGCCTGGCGCAATATGGTTCATGGGGTCACGAAGAGTCGGACATGACTTAACAACTGAACAAAAAAAGGAGATGAAAATCGATCTCAGGTTGGCAGAATGTGTCCCTCAACGCCAGGACATAAAATGAATATTAAATCGGAAAACATGGGTAGCAGGCAGAAAAAGGCCTGGCAGCAAAGCAACTCTGACCAAAACGTTTGGCGACGCAAAACACAACAGATGCCAGTGAAACGCAAAAGCCATTCCTATAATGCAGCGCCTTGGAGGCAATACTCGCTGAGCTGGAGCACCAGCTAACAGGGCAGCCCCAGAACCCCCCAGAGGGGCTCCTGGCTGCCCAAGGGGCTTTTTCTTCTTCACTCCCCCTAGCTCCTCAGAGGCAGCAGAGAGGGGCCTTGGGCTGGCCCCAGATCCACTTAGCCGGAAGAGGGGAACCCCTCAGCTCCCGCTGGCTACTCTGACTGACAGCAGTAAGTCTTGTGGTGGAGGAGGAGGAGGAGGAAGAGGCGGAACTCTGCCAAACAGCCTGCACAGGTGAGGAGCTGGATCTTGGACCTTTGCAAAGCAGAGCCTCCATCCCTCGTGCTGCCTGATCCTAAGAAAGCGGCTTGTGCCTCAGGGGCTTCTGAGGGTCACCCCCTTGCCCAAAGGACGCAGCAATCACCTCCAACTTTCCTTCTCGATCCAGGCAGCGTGGCACTGCTGTGGGGCTAGCCTTGGGTCAAGCTCAAAAGGTGTAAGGATGGGGCAAAGACTTCTGCAGCGCTGCTCCCTCTGGGAGCCAGAACGAGACTGGGATACCTAGAGGTGGAGAGGGTCAGACATGGAGAGTCTTCAACTTTTTGCAGTATTTTTAACTACTTTTTACTTTACTTAATTTATCTTGCCTCTCCACCACTAACACAAGAAGGTCTATGAAGTGCTGAACACACTCAAAGAGCACACCAGCCGTCCATGCGCCATCTCACTCCCGCTCAGACGTCTCGGACAGCCCTCGGACTAGCAGCTGCTGATTGGCTGACCGACCATGAACCGGCCTCGTTGCTGTTTCTGGGCTGCCCAAATTGAGGAGAAGACAAGAAGTTTGAAGGCATCTCAAAAGGTTGCCCCACCCGTCTGCCGCGTGCAGAGACCCTCTGCTTCATTTTCTTTTTTGCTAGCTAGAAAGACAGCTCTGAAAGAGGGCAAAGGAGCTGGAAGTTAATGCAGACAAAATGCAGAACTGGTGGTCTGGATTTGTGTTTGTCTAGGTGGAGATGTGCAACTTCTCACTGTGAATGTTCTCCCTTGGGGTGGTTTTTTCTGAAGTTAGGGTTAGGTGATCTGGCATTACATCTGGAGGCCCAGAAGCAACATAAGAGACACATGTTATGTGCCTGGTCAGCCACGGCCTCATCTAAAGAGACAGGCGATCTGTCTGTCCCTCTTCACCTGCAGCGGTCTTCACACGGAGCTGCATAAACTACAAAAGGTAACTGATGGGAGCATATTATGCAGAACCTACATCAACTGCTTTGGCTTCCACCTGGTTTCCAAATCCAATTTAAACCACTAGTTAACATTTCAGGGACCAGAACAGCCAGCGATAGGATGTCTCAGTGATACAGGGACAGAGCGGTACCATACAGCCATGCTGTATGCAGACAGAAAATATGTTTTCTTTCAACCCCCAAACAAAAATCACATTCTGGAACTTCTGCCAAAGCATTTCAGATTGACTATGGTTTGGCAGACGAAAATCTCAGAACATTTGGATTGTTCTGGGTTTCGACTGAAACAAAATCTGGAGGAATCCGAGAGTGATTTTACAGGGTGGGTAGGGCAAGGCTGAAGTGCGTCACTCCCCTCCTCTGCAGTCTCCCCTTCTTCCTAGTTTTAGATGGCACGCGAGTATTGATTTGCTGTTGACAGCAACTTTGGTCAGACAGTATCAAGGACATGCTGGCAGAAACAACAGCTGGCCAGCGTGGCTTCCATCAGTTCCCAGACTCTGCTGGGGATTGTTTTAGCTAAAGAAACATCCTTGGTTGCCAACCAGCTGACTCCAAGGGGGCAGCGCTTTCAGCATGCTTTCAACAGAGGAGGGAGTGCAATTCCAGGTATGTAAAGAACTGTGTGGGCTCTCTAGCAGTAATCTGAGAGGGACAGAAAAGTTGAACCAGCAGAAAAATTTCGTGGCTGAGCTGTCAAGCCACCAGAAACCTCAGCATGGAGACACAGGGGATGTCCAATCTAAGGGCACTTTATTTCTGTGGTCAACCAAGAGTTTGTCATTCCTTTGGTTAAGTGTTGTAATTTCACTGTCTGGTTCTCGTTTGCTGGTAAAAATTTAAACCCAATAGGCACTTTGGGCCAATGCCATCCTTGATGAAATGAAAATAATGTTCCTGCTCACTCACAGATTGGCTCAGGAGAGCTAGTCTCTTGCATGCCGGTCACTGGCCAGGCAAGCTTATCAGGTTTTTGTTTATCCTGAATGATCAA